TATATTGAATGGATTGAATGAATTATCATATTTTGATAAACAAAAAGGATTGAATTGGCGACCAAAAATTGGTTTTGTTTTTTCTCTTTTGGTGACCAAGTGATTAGTTGGGAAAGATAAATAATATTTTTGCCGACTAAAGTTAGTCAGTGTCACACCACTCACATTTAGCGATCAAAATGTTGGTAGGCAAAAGGTACATTTGGCTATTAAATAAATAGTCGGTAAAATTATTAATTTTGGGAACCAAAGTGTTTGGTCGCGAATAGGTTTATTGCCGATTAAAGTTTTAGTTGCACAAATATTACTTTTGGTGACTAACCTGTTTTGTGGTATGTGACTTTTGGTGACTAATATGTTTCGTTGTGGAATGTAACAATTGGCGACTAACATGTTTCGTTGTGGAATGTGACAGTTGGTGACTAACATATTTAATCGAGAAAATATCACTTTTGGTGACTAAACTGTTTTAGCTATAAAATGGTTTCGTCGCGGTAAATATATATTTAGCGATCAAAAATTTAGTCAGCAAATAGAACCTTTTTCTCAACTATTTTGTGAGGACGATGTAATTATTGTTATTGGAGTTTGTGTTTAATGCATTGAATTTTTATATTTTTTTAGTTGAGTGTTTTTATATATTTGGATGAAAATAGAATTCTGGCTAATTTTGCTATTAAAAATATTTCATTGTATTTACTAAGTGTTACGATAAAAATCTTTTAGTAATTGCCAGCTCTTTGATAGCATTTCTTGAATACTATGATATCCTTTTTTCACGGCATTTGTCCATGCTACTTGATCAAATACTAGTTTGTAACAAATTGCTTCTATGATGCATTTTACAAACCTCTTGAATGCAAAAAAAATATAACTTGCAACAAGAACTATCTCAACATAAAAAAAAGTGGATACTTGGATTTTATGAACAATTGATTGGCTTTCAATTGAGTTAGAATGACAAATGATTACATAATCAATTAAACAATCAATTATAAAACACTTTGTTTTTATAAATTGTCTTGTACAATTGATTGTAAAATCAATTCTTGCAAATGTGTTGTGTCTTGTATTCATAATCAATTCAATTGCAGTAGTCTATTTGGACCAAGACTCATGGCTTGTATACATAATTGATTGGCCTAAAAGAATTGGTCTATAGTGTTGGCATTCTTGCCATAGCCTAATGCAATCTCAACCAATTTTCAAAGAGATTAACTGACATCAAAACACAATCTGACACTTGATTGGTAAGAACATTAGATTAGTATAACACAAAATACATTATCAAACACAAAACAAGATTATCAAAACCCATGTAGCCATTACAATACCCAAAAAAAGAAGTTTAAACTCATTTGATCCAACCATACATATTGTCAATACAATTCAATTGTTATATGGAAACCATTACCAAGAATCACAACCCAATCCAAAAAGATAAACTCGATCTACGAAGAGATGGCACTTGTGCATATTTACATGTGTGCAAATCTAAGAAATGGCATGCAGTTCTGCGTATTTAATGTCCAATTTGATGTTGGCGAGCCTCTTCTAGTGCTCCTTCAACAAGCTCTTTGATTCATACTCTTTATCTTCTTGCATACCATTTCTCTTCAACTTGCTTTCACAAAACATACAATGACCAAATATTTTTTTGATCACTCGTCTTTTGAAAATCTAGCGAAGATATGCATTTAATAAGAAAAAAAAAATAACAAAAGAAAGGTCTAGTCACTCGTCACTATTACTCCTTTTTTTACTAAATAAAAGTGCCAGGAAAAAAATTCAAATAGGAAAAAGCAAACCAAAGAAGAAATGAAATAAGATTCAATAAATAAAATTCAACAAATGCTTCTCCAAATTGAACTCGGGAGTCAAAACTCCATTCTACATCACTTGTGAGTCAAGATTTCACACTTGAACTTAAAAAAAGCTATTTTTTTATTTGTTTCTTGGGTGATGGAGCCAAGGTTGATATACTAATTTGTATGCAAACAATTAAACAAAAGCTAAATTTTTTCAATGAGGATTGAGAAGATGTAAATTTTATATGAAAGGAAATTACAACAATAGTTAAAATTCTTGGATTCTTTGATCACATGTTCAAGTTGACCGGGTTCCTTACCCCCAACTCTCCCATACTTCCAATCCATTTTGTCCATGTATACAAGAGACTAATCAATAATAAGTAACACAATTGGTGGATGGAATATTTTAGTGTATATAGTAGACTAACCAATAAGCTAGCTTCCGATACACATGTTTGACAAATTAATAATAAAAAATATTGCTAAATGTTAAAGTTGGGATGCAAAATACAATTTTCTATGTGGAATCAATTTAGAATTAAAGTAATAAACTTGAAGCATTTAGGAAAAAATAAAACCAGTAAATGTTATTTTTCTTAGCAGTACCTATTAAATTAAATTGATGAGGTCTAGTAATGCTCTGTAGCAACAAAAATCAATGTGGTTGTTGTGTACCTAATGGGTGATGATACATAGTTGTGTTTTTTATGAAACATACAATTGCAGGGAGAAACTAATCAAAAAAAAGCATTCAAACCTCATATTCATAAAGATAACCCAAAGCATCATGATTCATGAACTTTCAAAGGGTATTACCTAGATTTTCACATGTTACTTAATCAGTAGCAACAGTTTAATAACATCAAAGACAATTCTACATTATTCGTTCACATTGCAACTACTATAAAATTCACCAAAGCCCCATAAATAAAAAGAAAAGAAAAGAATTTAAATAAATTCTCTCACTAAGAACCCCAGGATGGCCTTGAGCACAACCAGAAGAATTTAGCCTATACACTAAAGATTTAGAGGAACTGAGAATAACCACCAACATAGAGGAACTAACACAATGGAGCCATATAATCTTTAAGCAATTCTAGAATATATGTACATCTACTTGCCATTATTGAGCCAATAGAGGAACTAACTTGTGAATGACCTATTAGGGAAAATATGTGATTCCCACAAGTAAATCAATCTCTTACCATATTGTGACCAGAAGTAACTGGATGAATTTCCTGCAAGAGACTGTCTTTAATTTTAAAAGCATTTGGTTTAGTGTTCAGTTTTAGAGTAAAATCACAACTAAATTTTAGAATCCAAAACTTGTATACAAAAAAATAAAAAATAACAAAATAAAAAAATAGAAGCCAAGTATGAAGGAGAAGATTAAGATTAGGTATAGGAAAACACACCACCAACCTTGGCCAACTATTATGTTTGCTCTATAATCCCTCTTTAAAATCAGTAACTCTCCTTGGTAGCTTCCTTTGATAATCTAAAGCAAGAGTTCAAAACTCAAATCTAGAGGTATGTGATAAAACAAAGTAGACAAACACATTTGAGCAAAAGAAAGTATTATTTAAGTACTATATATATTTTCTGTTAGGCTTATTGTTTCTAGGGTAATTCTTTTAGTGAATAAACATAATGCCCGAGTCAAGTTTCCTCATTGAATCTTGAGAGGACATTTTTTTTTTCCATTCATAGTCGTATGAGTTGGCAAAAGCTGTACTTTGGCAAGAGAGAAGTCCTGAATCACAAACCCACCTAACCTTATACTTACCCACCTTGTTAGTATGTGTCCACACATGCAAGCTAGAATAACCATAGAACTCTTGAACAAAAATACAGGTGCTGGTATGCGTTTATGTCAAGGGGTACTACGACATTCTTATCTCTATCATCAACATGGAGACATGGGACAATGGAAAACTTAAAGCACCCATACAAATTTTAAAGCAAATATAAGCTTAGAAAAGCCATCCATTTAAAAAGAAAGTTTTAAATTAAAATTAGCTCCCATGGAACACTTTCATATGGCAAGCCATGATGAACAACCTTCAATTGCGAGAGAGAGAGAGAAAACTATACCAAAGTGAATAAGATTATGACAAACATAGCAGCTAAGGAAAAAATAATATGTTCACTGTTAAAAAGCAAACAGAAACAATAGTACCTATCAATTTGTTTTCTTCTTAAAAAGTAACTAGCACAACAATGTATGCATTTTTTTCTCTAGAAAGATAGTTATTAAGTAACAAAATATATAAATAAAGCATGATTAGAATGTACCATACAACATTGATTGCTTGGAGATTTCGGGAAATTCAAATGGCACATTTCAAAAAAAGGCCATATGCTTTTTTTCTTCTTAAAAAGTAACTAGCACAACAATGTATGCGTTTTTTTTTCTCTAGAAAGATAGTTATTAAGTAACAAAATATATAAATAAAGCATGATTAGAATGTACCATACAACATTGATTGCTTGGAGGTTTCGGGAAATTCAGAAGGTACATTTCAAAAAAAGGCCATATGCTTTCAACGTTCAATGCATACAAAATACTATTTTAAAATGGAATCCAAAAGGCTTTGACTAAAAATTAAAATAAAACATTTCTACAACTTACACTAGAATGTTGAATTGGAGCACAAATTCCCGTTAGTCCACATCCAAGATGCTCTATACCATCTTCAAATAATTGGACTATGTTATAAGTCAATTTTTACCTAGTTCTTTCAATAATCAAACAATAGCAACATGTTTTCTGTAAGAAAAAAGTACAAAATCTGCAATAGCACAAATGAATAGAACATGCAAGTGATGCAGACATATTTTCCAAAACCATAATTAAATTTTTTTTTCTTGCCATACCTATTGAAAGGTTTTAATTTGCAATTGCAATCACTACCAAACTTCCAAAGCATGGGTAAGTTCTGTCAATGGCCTATTGGCATAATTGATGAGTCATAGGTACTAACATTTCAATAAGAATAGTTGAAAACAAAAGAAATAACAAATGGCATACTACCACAAAAGTTGCTATTTAAAAGCAACTTTAACTTAGAAGTCAAGAGAGAATGTCAAATAATGTTTCCCTGAAGAGTAGGTAACACAAAACCATTTACTAAGGGCTATTAGTCTTGGGTCCTCCAGGTACCACTCCTCATTTCCCCATTATGCTACCTAATTAGACGCTGCAGATTCATCGTAAATCTATAATTGGTATAAAAAAAAATTAATACAAGAGATACAATTACTAATTTATTAAATATATGATTTCAAGGTCTAAAGATCGATACAAACAATCAAGAAAACTAATGGGTGTAAGGGTAGATTATATGTATGCATATATACATACGTATATGCATATGATATGCTATCTCTATGCGTGTATATATATAAACAACGCCCAAATAATACACATTGATATGTGTTGGGGAGGGAAAAGATTGGGTACACACCTAACCTTTGACATAGTACACAGAGTGGCTGCCTCGAGACTTAAACTCATAACTTCAAGGTTATTAGGCTAAGATTTTTACCATTGACCCAATGGTCACCCCTGTGTGTGTGCGCGCATATATATATATATATATATGAATATATCTTAAATATACAAGTATGAGAAAGTAACATTTCTCATAGGAAAGTAAGTTTCCGGTAAACCAAAAAATGGGTAAACAAGAAGTATTATCATTGAATCTGTAAACAATCTTCAAGATTATCATTATCAAAGGGTTCAATAAAACCACAATACACATACACACAACGAAATGATTTTCTAGATAATAATTTTTGAAGAATTCATCAAGAAAATTGGTTGCACCTGTCTTCAACTAGCCTAAGTTGAAAGAAAAGAATTCATCAAAAAAAAATTATTCATATTTTTTGGAAAATTTTGATAAAACTCTAATTTGAACAAGAGTGTTAAGATGAGTTGGGTTTTCCCATATCACACTAATCTTGCACACAACTTTCAAATCCAAAATTTCATATCAGGAAGTACTAAACAATCCAAGAAGGCTCTTTTGATTCTAACATATTAATCAGAAACTCAAACAAGGTCTACAATTTCTTACATATCTATTCGTTTTCATGACAAAATCAGATGATCAAAACAAGACCCAGATAAATTATTCTATCAAACAACACCATTCAAGATCGATCCACAGATCATTTTAAGATAAGTAAATACACCAATTAGATTATATTATTTTATTATAAATTTTCTTTTACACATTATTATGTTAAAATTAGTGTTTGTTTTATATGTCTAGATTTTTTATTTTACTTGTGTCTAATAAAAATTTGGATCTGCCAAACTTTTAAAAAATAAAAAATAAAACTTAAAAGTAATTTTGTAGCTTAAAAACAGAGAAAATTTATTTTATATAAAAATTTACATTGTAAAAAAAACTCGTTTAGATTTTTCTCCTTAGGTGCACTTTTAGATTTTCTCAAAAAAGCTTGAGCTGGGTCGCCTGTGTGTTTAATCAGCATGTAGACGTATAATGCTATAGCAAAGAGAAAGCAATTAAACAAATGCCAATATGATTGAGAACCGATGTTAATTTTCAATGTGAACAAAACTTAATATCATTAGCTATTCACTTTTTAGGGTTAGGGTTTTGAAATCAAAGCCCTATCTTGGGTGGTTACAGATGTTAATTTTGACTGAGAACAAACCTTATTATTAGATATTCAATAAGGGTTAGGGTTTTGAAATCAAAGCCCCAATGGCACAGCTAACTTGGGTGGCTGTAAATAGGAACATACCTGACCTACAGAAGAGAGCTCTCGTAAATATTCAATTTGACTAGAAGGGAAAATATTTGCTGACAAACCCATGGTGGCGACGTGAACAGAGTGATGGCTTGTGAAGAAGATGTCGACAACGGTGGCGTGGATCGCCGACGGGGCTGGTGGTCTTTGGCCATGGCAGAAGCTTCGGCTATGGTGGAAGAGAAAAGAAAGGTAAAGAGCAAGAGAGAGAGGGAGGCCAATCGTTCTTCTCTCTTTATGGTGGAAGAGAAGAGAAAGGTGAAGAGCAAGACAGAGAGGCTATAATGGAAGAGAAGAGAAAGGTGAAGAACGGTGGCCCCGACGCTTAACCATTGGACTTCGACAATTGCTGCAGCTTCGGCTATGGTGGAAGAGAGAAGGGAGGAGAAGAGAAGAGCAATTGCACGAACCAGAGCAAGAGAGGAAGGCAACTGACTTGGGACCGTTGGGCTTCGGATTTACTTTGCTCTGTTTGGCAACCGGTTAGACCGGTTGCCAATTCAAAATTAAATTATTAAAATAATTTAGTTATATGATAGTTATGAGATAATATGGTATATATAAATAACTAAATATAATTAATTTATGAGTTAATATGAGAATAGTTATGATTTATATGATATTAGTTATGATATCATATCACATAATCTCATAACTGATAATGTACCATAGCATCACCCCTCCGTTAAATAGTTTAAAATTTTATGTGGGTTAGTGATTAACAATATAATATGGTATCCAAACAAATAGATCGTGTGTTCTAATCTTTCCCCTTATCCGATAACTAAAATACTTGCTTGTGAGTTGTTGATTAGCAATCTAATAATGTATCCTTTAATGTTATTTACTCTTAGGAACGATTCAAGATGCAGTCCATGGCCATGGGGTTAATTCATAACATGAATTTTTGTGAATTTCTTTTTTGACAATCAAGGCCTTTTGTTGAGGCATGCCAATTGGGGATGTTTGATCATAGTAGCAGTTTCAGTTTAAGAATTGAAACAAATTTTCTTGATGGGTTTGTTCATAATGTTCATATGAAGGCTCTATATATACAGAAATCAGTGACATCATTGTCATTGTTAGATGATCTTGATGGTATTGTGGGAGAGATGAGGAAAAAAAATTAAAGGATTAAAGATTAAATAGAGCATTGCAGGATATCTGTATGAAGAAATGCCTAGTTAAAATAGAAAATGTAATTCTTAACTAGCTATTTTAGCTAAAACTACAATGTCCTCCGCCAATCTCCATCTCATGCATCACGTATGTCAATCAACATTGAACTAGCACAAATAAGCATAATCTAAAACAGATTTAGTGATATTAGGCAATGCATACTCAAAATCAAACATCAAAGAGAAACGCAAATGAATGCCTATTTAATCAATTTCAATCCAAATTCCAGTCTCAAACTTCATACTTATGTTTTGCCACTATCATACTAAAAAGTTCAACAAAAATGTACCATGGATGTGTCTCTCTTTCTCTCTACAGAACGGAGCAGCACTTGGGTTGACCAACACCCGGTGCAGAAGCACCAGCACTTGGGTTGAGGTGCAGTAGTAGTAGCAGCCATGGCCTGACGTGCAGCAACAGCGGTAGCAGATGTGGGTTGACGTGTGATGGCCCAACGCCCCCTACGATCCCTACTACCCTCAGGTATGGGTATAGGTATAGGTAAAGGTATAGACTCAGGGAAATTCATGTCCCCCTCAAGCTCAGCAACTGGCCATTTAAGTTCAAAATTCATCACAAACTCCTCTTCTTCGCTACTCTTGTCATCTTCTACCTGTAATCTCTGCCATTCTTCAATTGTGTGTAATCCCGGTACCTTACTTCTTCCTTTACTCCGCTTTCTGTGCCACTTTGCTGCTTTCCTACTCTTCCTCAATTCAAGCTCCTCCGAGTCAGGTCCCTCGTCTACTTTACCCTTCCCTTTGTTCTTAAAATCCTTTGCTTCCTCGACTTTCTTCATTTCTTCAGTTTTCTTTCCTTCCTCAATTTTTATCCCTCTCAAAACTTTCTTCCCTTTGTCTTTAATATCCTTCACTTCCTCATTTTTCTGGGCTTCCTCCATTTTCTGTCCTTCCTCAAATTTTATGCCTCCCACAATGGCTTCCTCAATTTTCCTTGCTTCATCACTTTTCTTGACTGCTTCCTCACTTTTCTTTGCTTCCTCCATTTTTGTCCCTCCCACACTTGTTTCTTCCTCACTTTTCTTGGCTTCCTCCATTTTCCTTCGTTGCGAAAGTATTGTTACCCCTGCTCTCTTCAACTTGGCTTCCTCAATTTTCCTTGCTTAATCTCTTTTCTTGATTGCTTCCTCAATTTTCTTTGCGTCTTCTCTTTTCCTGGCTTCCTCAATTTTCTTTGCTTCCTCTTCTTTCTTGGCTTCCTCAATTTTCCTTTCTTCTTCTATTTTTGCGGCTTTCACCATTTTATGCGCTTCCTTAATTAATAAATCTTCAATAAATCTCTTCGGCGTGCCTATGTCTTCTTTAACACCCTTCGCTTTGTCTGCTTTCCTGTCGTCCACAATTTTTTTCGCATACTCTACTTTCTTCCCCATATTCTTATCCTCCTCTTTCTTTTCCTTCTTGGCTTCCTCTTTTTTCTTTGTTTCCTCTTTTTTCTTGGCTTCCACAATTTTCATGTCTTCTGCAAATTTTTTCCCTTGTTCCCAAAGTTCCTTGATTTCCTCCATTCTTTTCGCTTCCCTGATTTTACTTGCTTCCTCTTCCTCAATTTTCTTTGCTTCATCAAGTTTTACTACTTCCTTGAGTCCCTCCAGATCCTGCTGGACCTCAATTTCCATTGCTTCCATGCACAGCAACAAGGCATCCTACAACCACATTACCCAAAAATAAAATTCAATTCAGACACATTCAACTAAAAAAAAACATAACTTCATAATTTAATTTCACCAATTGGCTGCAGAGAAACTGATGGAAAATGAATGCAAAGAAAGAAAATTAAAATTAAGAACCATAAATTCTTTACAATATTCTGTAACAAAATACCCCAGTTGGAGTTTTTTTTCTTTTAATTTCCTCTGTTTTCTCATCGGCCAAGCACATGGCGAGTGATAGAATTATGTTGCCGACTATTCTATTACCTTATCAATGTACTGGCAACGGAGGAATGCCTCTGCATGTTGAAGGATTTGCGCTGGAAACGCCTCAAATGAAGCACTGAGAACTGCTGATGCCACGATTATTGATGGCTTGAACTATATGAATTTAATATCTACAATCAAATTACAAAGAAGAACTGATTAGTTGTTGTTTGAAACTCCGTTTAGTTGTCAAGAAAAAGAAAGAAATTGAAATAGAAAAATGTAAAATGTAAAAATTCTAGTATCATGGTTCTACCCTAATTGAGCCAAAATATATGACTATCTTTGCTTTTCTTTCGTTTTCTTGGTAACCAAACAAATTATAAAGTAGAAAATAGACTTGTAGGTAAATTTACCCCCTTGAACGCTCAAAATGGACTGTGAAATGTCTCGACGAGTGAAGCCTCGAATTGGCTGCGGATGCCTCAGTTTGAAGAAAGGATAGAAGTATTCCAAGAAGTTTATTGCAGTCAAGGATTGCATTCGTCATTCCAGCATGGTCAGTATACGACGCTCCATCTCCAAAAGCAAGAGTGGATTGACACTGGTCGTAAGTTTGCGTTTAGCCTATTCAACATAAACCTAACATTAGAGAGGGAGAGAGAGAGAGAGAGAGAGAGAGAGAGAGAGAGAGAGAGAGAGAGAGAGAGAGATAAATTTAGTATTTACCAAGAAATTAGGAACAGAGAAGTCCCCGTTCCTCGTCTTTGAAGCAAGTGTAAAACAACAAATTGCAAAGAGCTTCGTGTTCTTGCACGGATTTCTTTCTAGAGCCTAGATCAAAATTGAAAATCGATTCAAAACCAATCGAAAAACATATCAAAAATCAAATCAAATAGATTAAAGTCATAGATTTTAACTGGTAAATGGCTTTTCCTCGACAACATTCGATCAAGGTAATTCATAGCAAGGTAGGGAACGAATGCATCATAATCGGAACCTTTTGAGAGCTGTAATTCATGCCAAGAAATGCATCAACAAACATGATTTAACAAAAAAGCAATGTGGAGAGAGAGATATATATATATACAGTACCATTTCAATGAGAGTAACTACGATGCTTCGGGTAATGGCCTTTTCTGCATTATGAGAGTAACCTTGAGCAGCCATGAATTCAGATTCGACATTGAAGAACTTCTTGAAAGCTTCATCATTTCGTTGAAGAAATGGGTGCGTTGGATCGTAATCCATTTTTTTTCCCCAGAGGCTTTGGAGTGAGAGGGATAGAAACTAAGAGAACTATAGGGGTCTTTCAGCGTTTATTTATCAAAGTAACGTGTTCCTTTCACCCTGCAACATTCTTGAGGCAAATCAGTAGAGAAGCGCAACTTAGAACCACAGGTTCAGAACAAATAATAAGCAAAAGAAAGCAATTTGACCATTTCTAATAACTGGAAAAACTGCAGCAAGCCCTCACCAGTCTTCGGACAGTATATATATAGCATAGTCTAAGATGCATTGACCCAGACATAGACATGGGTATGGAACCCAACAATTTAAAACAAATTAGGACACAACACGATGGGCATATGAAAAAAAAGAAAACGAAAAAGAAAAGTAAAACCCCAAGCCGATTCTCTATTATCGGTCCATTCATATGTTGTTCCCTTCTTAGTTAGTTGTGTCAATGGTACTGCTATCCTTGAAAAGTCCTTCACAAACTTTCTGTAATAACCTGCCAAGCCCAGAAAACTACGAACCTCGGACACGTTGGTCGGCGTCGGCCAATTCACAATGGCCTCAATCTTGCTCGGATCGACTGATATACCCTCTTCATTAATCACATGCCCTAAAAATGAGATGTTGGAAAGCCAAAACTCGCATTTACTCAACTTGGCGTACAGCTTCTTGTCTCTCAAAATTTGCAGGGCAAGCCTCAGATAATTCTCGTGCTCAATTGTACTCTTGGAATAGATCAATATGTCGTCAATAAAAACAACTACGAACTCATCTAGATACGGCTTAAAGACTCTGTTCATCAAGTCCATGAACGCTGCAGGAGCATTGGTCACTCCGAAAGGCATTACCAAAAATTCATAGTGGCCATACCTTGTCCGAAAAGCAGTCTTCTCAATGTCCTCGGCTTTAACTTTCAGCTGGTGGTAGCCCGACCTAAGGTCAATTTTGGAAAAGACTCGTACCCCTTGTAATTGATCAAGCAAATCGTCAATCCTAGGTAATGGGTACTTGTTCTTGATGGTTACCTTATTAAGTTCTCTGTAATCAATGCAAAGCCGAAGGGTGCCATCCTTCTTCTTAACAAATAAAACGGGTGCTCCCCACGGTGAAGTGCTCGGCCTAATGAATCCCTTATCCAACAATTCTTGTAACTGTAATTTCAGTTCTCTAAGTTCAATAGGGGCCATCCTATAGGGTGTTTTGGAGATAGGTTGCGTTCCCGACATGAGGTCCACAATAAACTCTATTTCTCTATCGACTAAGTGGCCAGGCAGCTCATTTGGAAAGACGTCGGGAAATTCCTTAACAACTGGTATGTCGGCCAACTCAACACTTCCATTCAAATCACTTAGTATACTGCACAAATAACCCTGACACCCCTTTTGGATCAACTTATAGGCTTTCATGGATGAGATTAAGTAGGGTGGGGGTACTACTCCCTTACCCTGGAAAAAGACCTCGGCTTTGTTCGGGGTCTTCAATGTAACGCTCTTAGTAACATAATTAATGGATGGATGATGCACTACTAACCAATTCATTCCCAATATGACATCAAAGTGGGTCATACTTAACGGCATCAAATCAGCTAATAATTCTACATCCTCAATCACCACAACACACGCCCTATATATGGATGCAATAATTATAGTTCCCCCAGATGGAGTAGATACAGATAGCACATAATCAAGGGGTTCTAACGGTCTGTTCAACTTCTCGACAAATTTAACAGATACAAAAGAATGTGTAGAGCCCGAATCAATCAAGACGTATGCAACTTGAGAGCAAATTGAGAGTGTACCTGACACTGCCATTTCAGCATTCTGGGTGTCTCCTGGCACTAGAGCAAAAACTCTGCCCTGTCTCATCTGTGTCCTTCCGACGTTGCTTCCTTGTGCAGAGCCTGAGGTGCACCCATTTTTCTTACCATCACCAGTTCTTGCCTTTGGACAGTCCTTCACGTGGTGGCCTATCTCGCCACATTCAAAGCAGGCTCCTGTCACCCAACGACAAACCCCTAGATGCGGCTTCCCACAACTCGCGCACGTCGGCTTAGCACTTCCATCCCGATCTAAGTTGCTGGAACTGCCCACATTCGCCTTCTTCTTGGCATTAAACGGCATCCGACGACCTTCATAGTTCTGTCTCTTCCTCTGACTCTCTCCTGAACTTTGATATCGGTTTAAGTTAGCTTCCACCAAGATGGCCTTGTCTAACACCTCGGCGTAAGTCAGCATATTAAGCATGTTGACCCGATCCTGGATTGGTCCACATAGTCCACTTTCAAACTTCCTGGCTTTCCTATACTTATCACTGACCATATGAGGCGCATATTTCGCCAATTCAGTGAAGGCACGGTCGTACTCTGCCACTGTTCTGCTGCCTTGTGTCAGAGTTTGGAACTCTGTGGTCTTGCGATCTCGAACGCTAAGCGGAAAATGCTTGTTGTAAAACAGTTCCAAAAATCTGGCCCAAGTTAAACCAGGATTAGTCTCCCGGGTCATCATCCACCACCTTCGGGCGTCGTCGTCTAATGTGAATGCTGCTAATGTCACCTTCTGAGGGTCGGTGCTAGGAAAGATCTCGAACAGCTTTTCCATTTCCAAAACCCACGCCTCGGCCTTCATCGGCTCTATGCCCCCTGCGAATCTTGGTGGGTTCATCTTCTTGAACTCTTTAATCAAAGTCATCGTCCCATCCCCATACAAGGCTGGCTGTGGAGGTACTTGGGGCACTGGAAGAGGTGGAGCTGCATGTCGGCCATCCGTCTGTTCGGCCGGGGTAGATGTAGCGCTTGCATTCTGTTGCCTCATCTGCCTCAATTCATGGGTTAAACCTTCAACCAGTCTTTCCAGTCTGTCCAATCTATCCTCTGATTGATCTCGGCCAACTGATGGTCTACCTCTCCTCATGATACTATGCGTAGGCAAAATGCAACCTTAAAACAAACTGAACCAAGAACCATGTATGCAAATAACAAATGGTTATGCCGAGATGATGCACACCTTGTCAAGTAACAAGCAACCTGATGCAATCCTAAAATCATTCTAAGGGACATCCTATGCTCTTTAGGACTCAAAGTGTGTGAATAACGCACTATAAGGAATGCGTGCTCTGATACCAATCTGTCACGACCCCAAACCGCCCCTAGTAGTTTTGGTGCCATGATGGCCAGTAATCCGGGATTACGAAGGCCAACCTTCAAAATCCACACACAATCAGAGTATTAAATTATATATATATGGGGCTCACAAGTGCGGAAGCATTAATTTAAAAATACAAGTAGTCCATAAGAGCAGTGCGTAAGTTACATGGAATGGCATACAACTTTACATAATATTACAACTTGAATACAAATATAATGAAGTACAAAATACACATTACATCTTGATCAAAAGGCTTCTCCAGCCGACATGTGTAAATTACAAGCATTATAAGCCGAGAAGCATAGTTTTCAAGACTGCCGATATGAATACAAGCTAGGCCGACATGACAAAAACCCAAAACAAGCTTGCGAGTCACACTTAGGTGTCACTGCCTTCCTGCTCATCACCTACATATATATATAGAGAGGGTGAGCTTGGATACTCAGTGAATGGTATAAGAAATAAAGGGGTTTGCATGACTGATATTCAAGATCTTTATCAAACAATACATAACATAATTAGTGCAAGTCAAGGGATGAACCAAGTCCATCTTCCAAATCTATCAAGTTTCAAAGGATGCTTACTAGCATCATTATAATACAAGTGATGACATCTCGGCAAACAAAACCGACGCGGTAAACCGTCAGTGGCAAACAAGACAAGACAAGGCAAGACAAGGGAGATATCTCAATTCAATTGTGTCGTTGCATTATAGTCCCCGGACACTAAGGACTTGTGCTACTAATGCTTAGAGTCCCCTAGCACATACGGACTTCCAAACTTTGTGTTACCAATGCTTATAGTCCCTTAGCACATACGGACTTCCAAACTTTGTGCTACCAATGCTTATAGTCCCTTAGCACGTACGGACTTCCAAACTTTGTGCTACAAATGCTTACAGTCCCTTAGCACGCACGGACTTCCGAACTTTGTGCTACAAATGCTTATAGTCCCTTAGCACGCACGGACTTCCAAGAATGTCATCAAAACAATATATATATATATCTATATTTTCCGATTATGAAGTCCCTTAGCACGCACGGACTTCCAAGAATGTCATCAAAACAATATATATATATATATCTATATTTTCCAATTATGAATAACCATTCATGCTTACAAATACTTTCCAAAACGAAGCAAAACAAGACTTTTATCAAAGCATTATAACATAGCTTTATTAAAAATACCACTCACTTAGTTCTTCAAACGTCGGGGTCAAGGCAAGTCCAAGTTCTACAAACACATGGCAAAGTCTGTTGAATGCACTTTCAAACAAGTTTCACATGCATGCAGATGATCTTGGGAAAACATGCTGGGCAACTGCCAGTTCTAGGCCGAGGTTCCACATCCCCTGGCCGAGGTGTGGCCTCGATGGCCACATTCAAAGGAATGAAGTCGGGAAAAATCTGGGTTTCCCTTTCTTGAAGAATATGATGAACATGAAGAACATGAACATGAGGAAGATGAATGCAAAGATCGTGATTTGCTATTACAAAATCTGAGATTTCATGCTATGAGTTCGAAAACATGGACCTGGGTACCCATATTTAAGGATCTTGTGAGAACAAACACAAAAACGTGAATCTTAATGCAAACTTTCAGATCAAACAAGACTTTTTCCTTCAAGAACACATGAACACTATTTTCTCTTTCTAAAACCAACTTTAAATCGATGCATGACATACAGAACGGGTTCGATCATGCAATGCAGCTAGATGATCAATAAGAACGACAAGGGTAAATCAAGAATCTAACCTCAATATGCGAATCTAATGGTTTGATCTCTAGGAATCAAGCTCGAAACCTACTCTCTCACTCTAAACTTCTTATTCTTCTCCTAGAGCTTCTCTCTCCTCACAAACAAAA